GATGAGAGGTGTTGTTTTGGATTTAATCATAAAATTATAATTAAGGTTCAAGAGTCGCCACCTAGTATTGTGGTCAGTAGGAACCTATGGTCTGCGAAAGTCTGAGTAAGGGACTGGTTGTGCAAGGGGAAGATGCATCATCCCTAGTGCACCCTACGTAAGGTAAGCTGCATTGTTGTTTTATTGTTTTTTAAGTTAGGTTTCTATTTGTTGGTCTTTTCTAAGGCTCAAGGCAGATCTCTCTTCATGAGAAAGTCTCTACCTTATTGGGTTAAATCCTAACTGTTCTAAAGTCTGAATATTAACATTGCATTTATTTACATATGGTATCTTTAATACTTGAAGGTATACTTTATCGTGTAATTTTACATTCCACGAATATTAAAGTCTACATCTAGATCATAAAAAAAATTGGAAAAAGATTTTTGATATGTTGGCCAAATCCTAATAGATAATCATAAACTGGTTATGATATCCATTTTTTAAAAACATGAAAACGATGCAATTTTATTTTTATTTTTTTTAATAAAAAATATGCTTGGAAAAATTTTAGGATTTGGCCGTATGCATGAAAATAATTTTTTAAAAATAGAAATTGATTTAAAATATTTTTTAATTTTTTTATAAAATATTTTGGAGAAAATCAAGTATTTTAATACTAGATTTGTATTTTATAGTGTAAATATACAAATTGATATTATGCAAAATTAATAGAAAAATATGTAAGAAAATCACAAATTTTTTTTTAAGGATTTTTGATTTTTTTTTAAAAAAGAACTATATAATATAATATTACATATATAAATAAATATTATTAAAACATATGGGCTGGCCCAGCTAACAGGGCCAGCCTAGCTGATTGGGCCGAGCTTAACCCCAAAAGAGGTGGGCCAACATCGACCTAAAATGGGTGGGTCAATGTTGGCCCAGAACTTTTTTTTAGGCGGGGCTGGACCCAACTATTTGGACTGGGCTATAACTGGCTGGGCCCAAATGCGGAAAGTTAATTAATTAGCTGCTGCATACAAAAATGAATTCTGCACGCAACAGCCACGACGGGAAAGAATGGAGAAAGAGGCAAAGCAGGGAGGAGGAAGATGACTGGCGTGGTGGTCTTGGTTGTGATGAGGTTGATCAGTTGGTGGCTCAGGGAGTGTCGGTTGAGGTGATGGTGGTCGGAGTCAGCTGTGGGAGGAGAAAGAAAACGTTGTAGAGGAGGGAGAAAAGTTGGAAGGGAAAGAGAGGAAAGAGACATGGTGGCTACTTAGTGGCTGGGGGGGGTCCTCTTGTAAAGAGGATGGTTGTCCAGCTGGCGGTGATGGTGGCTGAAGGCATGGCTGAGAAGGAGAAAGGAGAGAGAGTGAGAGGCGGCAGGAAAAGAAGAAAAACTAGGGAGGTGGCTGGTTTTTCTCTAACTTTGGACCAGATTTTTTCCTTCCTCAAGCCATAACATCAGCCTCTATTTATAGGTGGTGGAAGAAGGTAATCTTGTCTACTCCGGTGTAAAATTTCAACCATTAATTCAGTTGGGAAGAATCTCAACCGTTGGATCAAAGTAGACATGGTACATTGTCAAATCTGCAGAAAAAACAGCATGAGTTGGCATGTTTAGGCCGGATTATATGCTGATGGATTGTCATTCTGACTGCAATATCACACCATGATATAGAGGAACTGCAAATGATCATTTTCGTGCAAGTTTGGTTAAATTTGGTGGAAGTTAGGGGCATTAAACGCAACTGCAAAGGGGATGACCCAACTAGTTTTTCTAAAAAAATAAAGAAGATAATGAACAATGACCAGACGACGCGTTATCTGGCCCCCCTTGTTTTTTTAACTCAAAACAGTGCTGTTTTAGGTTTTAAATACGGATTTCTCAGGAGTTCAAAGTAGTCCTCCAACTTTTGATTTTATACAATTGTACCCTTAATTGACCCCAACTTTTGATTCAATGCAATTACATCTTTGCCAAATTTCAATTGGAACCCTAAAGTTATGCACCTTTTACAAAACTTCAATTTTCTTGCAATTTTGCCTCTGATTTCAATCGATTAACTTGGCAAAAATTGAATTTGATCTCTTAAAATTTTAATTTTCTCAATTAAGCCCAAATTAAGATCCCAAACTTAATTTTTCACCAATTAAGCCCCAAATAAAATTAATTTGACCCATTTAAAGTACAATTAAGTCCTTGCACTTAATTAAATCCTTCAATTGGATCCAAATTAATTCTTAAACATAATTAAAATTTAATTTGGCCCATGATTAAATCAAATTGGCTTATTATAAATTCAATTATGTTCTTGGACTTAATTTTTCACTAATTAAGCCCTAAATAAAATTAATTTGATCCATTTAAAGTATAATTAAGTCTTTGCACTTAATTAAATCCTTCAATTGAACCCAAATTAATTCTTAAATATAATTAAAACTTAATTTGGCCCATGATTAAATCAAATTAGCCTATTAAAAATTTAATTATATCCTTGGACTTAATGTCTATACAAATTCGTCCAATAATCATTTAATTTGACCTTGAATTTGCATTATTTCCTCCATTTTTTGGGCATAAAGGGGTACAATTAGATCTAAATTATTCTAAAACATTACAGCTTGACTTCTCAGCCTATTTTCTCCATGTTGTCAGTCTTTATTTTATTTTTTGATTTTTATTTAAAAAAATTAATTTTTGAGAAATAACTTAGAATTGGGTTATGATAATTATCATAGTGGCTGCACTTTTCATCTTCTATATTTCTCAGTCTAAGTCAAGTGTTGTAGACTTACGGATTGGAGCTCTTTGAGACCTATATTCAAAAGACTAATCCATGACTTCTTTATTGAATATGAACAAAAATCTATAGTTTAATTAATCTTTCTAATCCTACGAGGTTCAAGATTATTGTTCAGGTCTGCCTTAATGCCAAATGAGTTACTAGGGAGTCTATACCCTAAGAAAAGGTTCTAGTTTATTATGAGGGATAAGTTTTTGACCTGGTCTTAAAAGGGTTTATGATTTATCTAACGACCACCATTCAAGAAGGCAATATGAAGGTTTATAAAGAATGGTTAAGCAATAGTATAACCATCATTATTAGGTAAATATTCAACTCATAGTTGGATTTTTTATGAATCTAAACGCTGAATAAAAATTATGAGATAAACCACTAATACTCTCCACTTACTCTACTCTAGAATTGAGTTTATTCATCATAATTAAAATGTATAAAGACATTAATCCATATCTGATGTAATTATGTATGAGTAGTATGTTGAGGTGATGGAGTGCTAACTGATCTAGTGTTTTGCTGGTGTTAATTACATGAGCAATTAAAAAGCGAAACCCTGCAGGCCTGTTGTTTTGAATAAGCCAAGCTTCCCCGTCGGTAACTTTTGGCAGGTTTTAGCAGTACACAGGTGGCGCAGCTACTTGAATAGATCCGTAATTTTGTTGTTTTCAATCTGAACTAATTAGATGATTGAGGAAAGCATGGTGGTAATTAAGAGTAAGGACACCATTTAGAATCATAATTATTCTTTTCAAATTTATTTTTAATCTAGTTAAGCTCCAAGTCTTTCATGGTTCGGCATCTAAAACAGAAAGAGATGTTAAATCGAATCTGTCAAACAAGAAAAGCTGTGGACTGTTATCTATAAATAGCAAATCAAGTTCTACCATTTCTCCATCCCAAACATTAATCTTCAAACTCAAGCTTCTCGACATTTATCTTCACATTTAATTCTTGTTCATTTGACCATTTCAAACTCCGGCAGATATACGTTGTCATGGGAGTTTTCACTTACGAATCAGAGGCTTCTACTGTGATCCCGCCAGCCAGGCTGTTCAAGGCCCTTTTCGTTGATGCCGCTGAAGTCATGCCCAAAGCCCTGCCACAGGCTATTAAAAGCATTGTTACTCTTGAAGGAGATGGAGGCCCTGGAACCATCAGGCAAACTTATTTTGGCGATGGTCAGTACGTAGCTTCACTAGTAGTCTGATACGTGATTTCCATAACAGTCACAATCCATCATTTTGATTAGAGTGGTTTCACTCTTGCTCCTCCTAGTAAACAAAAATGAGCTGAAAAACTAACAATATGGATTTGCATTTTGAACTTTTGACCAAGGTCGAGTCTTACATACATATGAACTAATTAAGGAACTATGCATGCTTGTTGACTCCTCAGGTAGCCTATCTTTCAAGGAGAGGACTGATGCTATTGACAAGGAGAGTTTGTCATATGCGTACACTGTGTTCGAAGGTGCTGTCTTGGCAAACACATATGAAAAAATCTTCAACGAATCGAAGATTGAAGCCTCCCCTGACGGAGGATCGGTGTGCAAGACCAGCACCACATACTACACTGTTGGCAATGCGGACGCAAAAGCAGATGAAATTAAGGATGGACAAGAAAAGCAAATGGGATTATTCAAGGCCATTGAAGCCTACCTGTTGGCAAATCCTGATGCTTAAATGTGCGTTCTCTGAAGCTGCTCTTGACGTTTGTTGTAGAGTTCCTGAAGCTGCAAAATGATAATAAAGAATCCGAGTTGAGTTCTTCGGTCTTTAATTTTCAATAATATTAAAAATATATGGTGTATTGTTTGCAAGAAGATAATTGAAAATCCTCACGAGAAAGAAGTGTTTACTTGCAAATGATTTAGTGGACATTCTTCAATTTGGCATCTTACTAATTACATAATCATCGGGGAGATGTTTGTTAATATTGTTGCTTCAGCAGTACACCAACTTTAAAAGAGAACATATATAGCCCTCGAAAAATTACGTTGGAATCGTCCTGTGTCCAAAAATGAACGAAGATCACAGAAAAGAGCTTTCATGAACAAGGTTACTCCTATGTCGAAAAATAAATAAATGAATGAATGAATAAATCGACTTATCATAAATAATTGTCCAATAATATTTTATATTATTTTTCTTATAGTAGTAATAAATATTATGTATAAATATATGTTTAAGACCATTTTTCAGAGCGGTATAAAGAGTGTTAGAAAGAAAAATATCATTATAAAATTTCTTATATTTGCTTGTACAGCCCAATTAAATATAATCATTATATTATTATTATTATTATTATAAATGGAGTCAGAAAACATCGAAGCTTTTATATTTAAAGCATATTTAAACTTGTTATATTTTATTGAGTTTATTGTATTGAGTTGTGCTATGAAATTTAATAAATCAAACTGTGATGAATTATTGAGATATATTTTTTCATGACTTACATTGATACCAAACACCCATGATGAAGTGTTTGTTATTGTAGAATTTTTAGAGCTTGTCTCCTAGGTGTAGATGCTGTGTCAAATCTACTTTAGCTTTTCATTCAATTTGTTGTGATCTGCAAGGAGTTGAATGATAAATTTATCTTTTAAAAGTGATAAAAAAAAAGATTTTGTATATAATTATAAAATTATAATTATAAAATTCAGGAGATACCATCTAATATTACGATTATTAGAAAATTTATGGTGTGTGAGAGTCTAAATAATTGACTAGTTATGTAATGGGAAAACACATTACTCATAATACAACCTATTTAAGGTAGGCTGTATTATTATTTGATTATTTTCTTGGGTTAAGTTTCTATTTGTTGGTCTCTTTTAAAGTTCAAAACACATTTTTTCTAGTGAGAAAGTCTCTATCTTATTGGATTAATTTTTAATCATTTTAAAGGTCTCACTCTTAGATATAACTAAGGCCTAGCATTTCTCATGACAAAATAATTGTTATGGTTGTTTTTTGGTATTTTGATCCCTAATAAATAATTATAAACTAATTACAATATTCATTTTTGCATTTAGAAAAATTTAAAAAATATCTTTTAGAAAATATGCATGAAAAACTTTTAAGATTTGGTCGTCCGCATGAAAATCAAACAATTTTTTTTTAAATGAAGATTTATTTTTGAATTTTTGGATTGTTTTTAAATTTTGTTTTGGTTCTTGATTTTTTGGAGGAAACTAGGATTTAAAACCTGTTTGGGAATGTGATTGTGGTTTTTGTTTTAAGTGTTTTCCGTGGCGAGATGCATCAAAATGATGTTTTTTTTATTTTTTAAAAATTATTTTTGAGATCAACGCATAAAAATGATTCAAAACACACAAAAAATTAATTTTTAGCAAAAAAAATTAATTGTTTTAGGAACACGGTGATTAGTACTTAAAAGTGCATTCTCTAGATATAAAGACTTGCTTAATACCTGTCCTCATCATGGTTTTGAAACATGGAGATTGGTTTCACAATTTTATGAAGGGTTAACACCTAAAGATAGACAAATGGTAGAATTGATGTGCAATGGAACTTTTGAAAATAAAGACCCTAATGAAGCAATGGACTAAATGCATTTGCTAGCTAAAAATGCTCAAAATTAGGACACCACAGGTACTTGTGAGGCACTAGGTAAAACCCAACCTCATGTATCTAATGGAGGCATGTATAGCCTTAGGGAAGATCATGACCTCCAAGCTAAATTAGCATCTTTAGCTAGAAAAGTTGAGGCACTAGAATTAAAAAAGAGTGGTTAATTAAAATCTGTTCAAGAAATTGTGTGTCAAATTTGTGAAACCAATGAACACTCAACCAATGATTGTCCCACGTTGCCTTCTTTTAAGGAATATCTCCATGAACAAGCCAATGCTTTAAATAATTTCCAAAGACCAAGTCATAACCCGTACTCACAAACGTACAACCCTGGTTGGAGAAATCACCGAAATTTCAGTTGGAAGAATGGTAACAATAATGCACAAACTTAACAGCCACCATTTCAAACACAACATAATTTTTAAAATTCTCATCGATATGCACCTCCTTATATTCCCCCTCCTAAAAGAAATCTTGAGGAAACATTACATGCATTCATTGAAAAGCAAGAGACAATCAACACTCAAAATGCTCAAACCATGGCTGATTTGAAAGATACTCTTGCAAAGTTCACATCTGCTCTCAGTTTTCAGGAGAAAGGTAAGTTTCCATCTCAACCACAGCAAAATCCCAAAGGGCAATACAATTCAAGTACAAGTACTTCCAGAAGCCAACATCTGGATCAAGTCAAATCAGTCACTACTCTTCGAAGTGGTAAGGTTCTTAAAAAACACATTCTTGAACCTTGTGAGAAAGAAGGTGAGTTAGTCTTCAAGGGTAAGGAAATGGTTGAACCTGATCATTGCAAAGAAGAGAGTGATTCCCCATCAGCACTTCCATTTCCTCATATCATGACCAAACAAAGAAAAGTCAATCACAATTCTGAAATCTTTGAAACTTTCAAACAGGTAAGGATTAATATGCCTTTGCTAGATGCTATTAAACAGGTACCATCCTATGCTAAATTTTTGAAAGATCTATGCACTGTAAAGAGAAAATTAAATGTGAAAAAGAAAGCCTTCTTAGCCGAACAAGTAAGTGCTATTCTTCAGAATAATAATGCTTTGAAATATAAAGACCCTGGTTGTCCTATAATTTCTTGCTTTATTGGAGAACATAAAATTGATAGAGCTTTACTTGATCTTGGAGCTAGTGTGAATTTACTTCCATATTCGGTTTTTCAAAGTCTCAATCTAGGTGAGTTAAAACCTACTTCTGTTACTCTTTTACTTGCTGATAGATCTATAAAAATGCCTAGAGGAATAGTTGAAGATGTGTTAGTACAAGTTGATAGATTCATCTTTCCTGTGGATTTTATTATCTTGGATACACAACCTGTTGAAGCATGCAATTCAATTCCTATTATTTTAGGATGTCCATTTCTTGCAACTTCTAATGCATTGAATAATTGTAGGAATGGAGTGATGAAGTTATCTTTTGGAAACATGACATTAAAAACGAATGTTTTTAACATTTGCAAGCAACCTGGAGATGATAATGATTTACAAGAAGTAAATTTTATTGAAAAAATAATTTACGATTAATTTGAAAATTCTTCCAATGAAACTGAGTTTAATGAATCTGAAGATTTGCAAATGGTTTGTTTTCAGGAAGAATCAAAGGCAAATATTTGGAGACCAAAAATTGAGGAATTACCACCACGATCAATTGGGTCCATACCTTCAAGTGTTCAACCACCAAAACTCGATTTGAAGCCATTGCCATGTAATCTCAAATACTCATTTTTGGGAGAAAATGAAACTTTTTCGGTAATAATTTATTCCAAACTTAATGCTCATCAAGAAGGTAAGTTATTACAAACTCTGAAAATGCACAAAAATGCATTAGGATGGACCATAGCTGACATAAAAGGAATTGGTCCTTTGATTTGCACACACAAGATTTATTTGGAGGAAAATGCTAAACCATCTAGAGAAATGCAACGAAGGCTTAATCCTAATATGAAAGAAGTAGTGAGGAATGAAGTCATTAAACTTCTAGATAATGGAATCATTTATCCTATTTCTAATAGCAAATGGGTAAGTTCTACCCATGTTGTACCTAAAAAGTTTGGAGTTACTGTGATAACAAATGAGAAAAATGAGTTAATTCCAACGAGGACTATTACTGGTTGGCGCATGTGCATTGACTATAGGAAACTTAATTCAATGACTAGAAAAGATCACTTTCCTTTACCTTTCATGGATCAAATTCTAGAAAGAGTTGCAGGTCATGAATTTTATTATTTTCTAGATGGTTATTCAAGTTACAACCAAATTGAAATTGCATTTGAATATCAAGAGAAAACTACTTTCACATGTCCATTTGGTACATTTGCATACCGAAGGATGCTTTTTGGATTATGTAATGCACCAGCCACGTTGCAAAGATGCATGCTTAGCATATTTAGTGATATGATTGAATGTTTTCTTGAGATTTTTATGGATGATTTTTCTGTTTTTTGTGATTCATTTGATAATTGTTTAACTAATTTGAAAAAGGTTTTGAACAGGTGTGAAGAGAAGAATCTTGTGTTGAATTGGGAAAAATGTAATTTTATGGTAACAAACAGCATTGTACTTGGTCACATTGTTTCATCAACAGGAATTGAGGTTGATAAATCTAAAATTGAGTTAATTGCCAACTTGTCAACACCAAAATCTGTTAAAAATGTTAGATCATTTTTAGGAAATGCTAGTTTTTATAGAAGGTTTATCAAAGATTTTAGTATAATATCTAAGTCATTGTGTAACCTTCTAATAAAGGATAATGTTTTTGAATAGACTGAATATTGTGAAGAAGCCTTTGTTAAACTTAAAAACCTGCTTACATCTACTCTTGTCATTCAACCTCCTGATTGGTCATTACCGTTTGAAATAATGTGTGATGCTAGTGATTATGTCATGAGTGCTGTTTTAGGACAAAAAAAACCCTATATGATTTACTATGCAAGTAAAACTTTAAATAGTGCTCAAATAAATTACACAACCACTGAAAAGGAATTACTTGCTGTAGTATTTGCATGTGAAAAATTCAGATCTTATCTTGTTGGCTCACCTGTTATTGTTTTTAGCGATCATGCAGCGTTG